TGACTTGTAAATACCGGTTCAAACATGTAAAATGTAAACATTATATCATGCAAAAGCCTGTACAAAAATGATGAACATTTGTTGCATTTAATAAAGTTTAGAAACGAAATTCGCAAATCAATTTAGCAGCCGTCTTTGTATCTTCTTAGGGAATAGTGATGTATGAGTATGACTGTGCCCAGTGGCGGATCCAGGGGGCGGGCCCGGGCCCCCTTCCCCTGGCCAAAAATGGGTTTAAAAAAAGATGGTAACGTTAATTTTACCTTTAAAAAAGAAAGAAGACGGGGCCCTCCCCTGGACAAAACATCTATTTTGTTGTTGTTGTTGCTCAAAGGGGGGGGGGGTGAGTAAAAACAAAATAGAGCTCCATACCCCCCCCCCCCACGTTGAGCCAAAAGAAAAATAGTGCTCACTTCCCCCCCCCCCCTTCCCGCTTATGTCTCAGCGAAGTGCTACTTTGCAAGATTAAGTATATTTAATATCCCCTAACCATTAGTAGTGCATTTTAATCATAAGGATGTCATCTCTATGATTTTAATACTGATGATATTCAAAAATTTCAATCATAACCATATACTCACAAAGGAAAACGCACTTTGCGAACATTTCAAATCTGCTTGTAGCTTTAATATAATCTAAGAGGACTCTAAAATCTACCTCTAAAAACTACCACCCTACCTCTACTACCATCCTACTCGTTCTTTCCTGCCTCTACTACCATCCTACATCAACTACCACCCTACCTCTATCCTATCCGTTCTTTCAGTCTGCCTCTACTACCATCCTACCTCTACTATACTATCCTACCTGTGCCACCATCCTACCTCTACTACCATCCTATGTCTACTACTATCCTACCTCTGCTACCATCTTACCTCTGCCACCATCCTACCTCTGCTACCATCCTACCTCTACTACCATCCTACCCGTTCTTCTATCCTACCTCTACTACCAGGGGCAGATCCACCGTCGCCCCCCCCCCCCCCACCTGACCACAAAACGGGTTTTTAAAAAAATGATAACGTTAATTTTACTTTTTTTTAAAGGAAATGGGACCTCCTCCCCCTGGCCAAAAAGAAGTGGTTGCTGTTTTTTGGCTCAAGGGGGGAGGGGGTGGAAGTTGGGGAGAAAAGAGTGTCCACCCCCCCCCCCCCCGCCCTATAGGAAAATCCTGGAACCGCCACTGACTGTGCCCTCTAGTTTGTTAGTTATATGATTCGAAGAAATCATGTAATATTTATATGGGACTAGTTGTCGGTTCGTACATTTATACTGGGACGTTTTAGAACAGATTTCGTATGACTAACGTTGCAAAAGTGACAGTAAATGTACGTTCATTATTCTTTTACTCATTCGTCTCTTTTTTTCTTGTTCTTTTTCTGAAATACAATACAAATGATTGAATATTTGGTTAAATTTCCTTCTATACGTCCATTTTGTTCCTTAAAATACAATCATCATTTTGAAGAGCTTTTAAATAATATATTATGCATGTTTTTTCTTCTCCCTCTTGTTCTTCGTTTTCTTCCTCGTCTTCTTCTTCTTTTCCTGTTACTGCTTCTCCTTCTCTTCCTCCTCCCTCTATTCCTTCTTATTATCTAGTATGTTGAGTTTTATAATTGCTTCATCATTGTCATAGCCCCAACTATAGGGCCTTTGAAATCTCGCATCCTAAAATGTCATCGTCACTTTAGAGGGCCTGCCTATTTTAAGATTTACACGACAAGAAAGAAAGAAAGGGAGAGTAACAAAGAGAGAGAGAGAGACTGTATTAGAGTCATGGTGAAAATAGAGGAGTATTAGCTAAATTCTCTCAAATAAATTTCTATCACACATTTCTATCACTTTGTGTATATCCACACGCTCTGTAGCCCCCCCCCCCCCCCCACACACGTACACATTGTTTATCCATGCACTTCTCATTTCTCTCATAGATGTATCTCATTCTAATTCTATCCCTCTGCGCCTCAGAATAGTTTACTAGATGCTAACGTCAATATCTATAACATGCAAGTTCAAAGGACTTCTTGCATATAATATTGGCATTCACATGTGGTTTGCAAACGATAAAATCTTGCAGACTCATGATTGTAGCCTTGTCCCAAGCAAACATGGCCTTCTGATTATACCAATTTACTGATTTTAACAGCGATTCTTACATTTTGGAAGCTCATAATCTCACGACCGTTCTGATGATTATCTTATATGGATACACAGATAAAATTTCATAAATCTGAATTAACCCATTGCTTACGGGAACCTGGTGGTCCCTGTGTAAAGCCTATGGGAATAAGATAATTCAGTAGTCAACGGGTTAAATGTGTACATGTAAACATTAGTCAAATAGTCTTATTAGGTCACACAACGTCCATTTTTTGTCTGGGCATACTATGGAAGCACACCCCGATCTTCTTCCTGATCCCAACCCAAAATAATTGATCCTCTCATAGTTTTCAACATCCTATAGAACTATGAGCTTAGGGGGGAAATGGAAAAAAAATTGTACTCTAAGCATACCCTATGTCCTAAATATCATTTTTAATGACTGTATCGTTGCTATTGTTGTTCTTTTCGAAAAAGGAAAGAGGGAAATCTACTCTTGCTTTTTGATCGTTTAAATCTCGAATTGCGGTGTCACAATTGAACCTCGCTATTTTCAGCAATGCTCTTTAAGAGACGTCTCTGGATCAAAGTCCAATATATAGTACAACCCCTCACCCTGACTTCCATTTGATTTGACTTTTGAGGTCGCAATCCTAGACCGTGTTTATGAACCATTTCAAAAGATGTCACGCATGGTATGTCAACCTAGTTTGAGAAAGAATTTTAAACAAAGCCGTGCACAGATGTACTCTGAATACAGCAATGACTTGCAGAAGCATGTATTGACGTACCTGTAGATTTTTAGTGCTGTTTGATACTCATTTTTGTTGATCAACATGGGTATGGCGTGTGATCAGCCATTGATGACTGATAAGGGGCACTAGAAATATTAATTGACTTGATGAATATGCGAAAGGTATTGCGTCTCATTGTCTTTCTCCTCCCCCTCCATTCCCTTCTCCGTCTCTCTCTCTCTCTTTCTCTCCCTCTCTCTCTCTCTATCTCCCCCTCCTCCCTCTCTCTATCTCTCTCTCTCCCTCGCTCTCTACATAGGCATATATATCTATGTTTCTATCTAAGTCTTTCTCACTCTGATTCTCACTTTCTCTCTTTTGTCGCCATTCGATTCGGGGGCACGTGCCCCCCCCCCCTCCTATGGCTGCGTCATTGTCGATATATATTATTTGTTTTTCCTTACTAGCTTATTGTAGGGGAAAATAGTGGATTTGGATTTGCCCCCCCCCCCCCTGAAGAAATACCAATCAACCCCCCTCTACCCCCGCCAAAACAACAACAACAACAACATTAACAATATTCAGAAAATGGGTGAACGGTTATCCCAGTTATCAGCAAAAAGTGCACAATTTCTTATTCGTACTGAGCAAACTGGACTTTAACAAGTGGCAAACGGTCATCGGTCTATTATCATAAAGGAAATATAGCCTCTCGATTTGGCAATGTTCCCTATAATTGTTTACCTTTCGATTGTCTGCTAGCTTGCTACGTGGATTTTGACTCTCAACTTGTCGTTCATTTGAGAGTACGCTTTCTTCAGGTAGAAGGAATTTATCCAGGATCTAGGATATCATTGGGAATATTATATCCAGGATCAATCTTAAATACAACGTAAGTACGCATTTGTTGTTATTGCTCGTAACAATGATAGGAAGAAATATTAAATAAATTTAAATGTATTCCGACTTGTTTTGTTACTGTTTAAATGCAAAGGAGTTTAAATTTATCTTTCTCCAAATGCAAGAATACTGATTAGCATAGTTAGCTTAATTTTGGTAAATTGATGAAAGAGGTATTATGTGCTTCATATTTATCATTTCATTTTGAGATACTGGAAAAGCCTTTAAATTCCTTGATCTGAAATATACTCCGGGCTATATTACATCAAAGATGCAGTGTGATTTACACTTGGATTGGTTTAATTCTAAATCAAAGGTTTAGGGTAAGTTATATTTGCTCTAAGGCTGAAATTTGCGATTCGACTAAAATTCCTAATTGTCAGCGTATCAGTAATCGCTGGAATATATGTCGTTTAAATCCATTTGCCGTACACATTCAGCTTCACACATTTATGTAAATGACTTGAACACCAAAAGCTTGGGCTCAGCCCCCATCAGCCCCCCCCCCCCCCCTCCCACACCACAAACAGATTGTTGATTATAAATGATTTTATGCGGGGCACATGTGGGAAATTGAATGCAAGACCCCTCATGCACCCTCCCCGGAAAAAAATAACAAAAAAGTTTGTGCAGACATCATGTAGAAAGAAAGTATGTAGTCTGACAGTAGCAAAGAAAACAATGTAATAGACTCTTCTGAACGACAGGAAAAAGGACGTTCTGGATTTCAAATTAGTAAATATCAAGTGGTTACTATAAGGGGTCAACTCACACTTCATGTGCGTCAAGACAGGCTTCTAGTAATGAAGATCGTATTTTATACATTTTACCTTTGGTATGGTATGGTATGGTATTTATTCCATTCTTCATAACAAAAGACATATACAAAACATACATAGTATTACCCCCCCCCCCCCCAAAAAAAAAAAAAAAAAAAAAAAAAAAAAATTGTAAATACATAAATACACGTAGAAGGGTAACATTACATATAATAAGAATATAATAAAATTAACAAGGAAATACGTTCAGAAGCAAATTTATGTCGAATGGGTGGTCAACATAAAAGAGCATTTAGCCTTGTTGAACGTTGACCCCTAAAGAAAGTACATAATTTACACCACATTAAGAAGAACAGGAAAGCAGGTGGAAGCAGTAAAAGGGACTAGGAAAACATAATACAGAAGGAAAAAAGATACGAATATATACTTCATAAATCAAATATGATACTCAAGTTGCCGAGTACAAATTTAATAAAAAAACAATCGAAAGGAACGTTTAAAACTATATACAGAAGGTTGATTCTTTGGATATTTTGGAATAGTACTCCATATATGAGGATCTTTATCAATAGTAAAGCATTTAGTATTAAATATTTGTTCTTTAGATTCATCAATGTCCATCATGGGGTTCACAGAGGCAGAACCGGGATATTGGTTGCTTGCTGGAGTAATTGGTCTTCTCACCGCTTGGTTGGTCAAACATCTGATAACCAGGCCCAAGAACCTTCCACCAGGCCCCACTGGACTACCTCTCCTGGGTGTAGCGTGGCAAATCTTCAAGTACGTGCTTCTCATTACAGTATTTTAAAAGCTATAAACCCCCTTGTGTACCTAAAACTCTATCCTTTATCTCTCCCGCCCCGACCCCCCCCCTCTCTCTCTCTCTCTCTCTCTCTCTCTCTCTCTCTCGATCTCTCTCTCTCCCTATATCTTTATCTTACTTTCATTTTCATTCAATCCGTCTCCTTTTGATAACGCTAGACCCTTTCCCATCTCCCCATCTGTCTCTGTCTCTCTCTTTCTCTCTCACATACACACACACGTTCTCTCTCTCTCTCTCTCTCTCTCTCACTTACTCTCTAACTATCTATCTATTTAAATATCTCTCCCCCCCTCTCTCTCTCTCTCTCTCTCTCACTGCCTCTTCTATCTCCCATACCTATATCGTATCTTGTTACCTCTTCTTCTTCTTGTTCTTCCTCCGCTATTTCGGAGATCAGCGATCCCATGGGCCGCAAGACATATAACTAAACAGGAGCACAAGGTAAACATCAAGGTAAACATCAAATTTTGACTCCGTTGCCGAAATATAATGTGTAATATTTTCTTGTTAATTGCAGGGGTGGGTCGGATCCTCTTGCTCTCTTCGCATCATGGTCCAAGAAGTACGGTGAGATGGTATCCTTCTACGTTGGTCCGAAGCCGATCATCATCCTCAACTCCTACCCAGTCATATTCGAAGCATTTCGTCATCCCGATCTCCAAGACCGACTCAGCAGCCGACTACTTCAAGAAATAATGGGATTAAAGAACAGCGGTAAGGATTGAATAAAATTGGCAAGTTATTTCCAGAAATATGATAACTCTTGTGCAATGGAAGATAGCCCTTCGTATAATAATTTTGAGTATCAAAGGAACTCCCAAACCTCGAAAGGAACTTCCGAGATCCATCCGAGTAAATCAAAATAATCACCTTAACTCCTTTCAGTAAATGTCGAAACGAAATGGTCTTCTCGATGAAAGGAAAATAAAAAATAAATAAAAGAACATCATCAAGGGATCTAACATCTTTTAAAGCCCCCGTCACTAATCCACTACTCATCTTGTGTAATTTTATTTTATTAGTCAGATTAAATTATAATATATATAACCATGACAATCCTATCATCATGTTAAACTCCATGTTTGATATCTTCCAAAGGAATTGGTTTTTCTAACGGAGAAGTCTGGAAGGAGCAGCGAAAGTTCACCCACTCTGTATTCCGGAGTCTTGGTGTTGGTAAGAAGAGCTATGAGGATACCGTATCAGCCGAGATGACCCAGCTTTCTTCAGTCATCAAAGAAAAGAAAAGTTCTCCTTTTGACCCCAGCACTCTCTTTATGCAAGCCGTTTCCAACATCATTTGCTCTATCATCTTCGGAACACAGTACACATACGACGACGAAGCATTCAAGGAAGTAAGCTGAATATGTATCATCCTGACTTTCACTGATACTACTTGTGGATTGTCACATCAGTACTTGAATGACAGTTTGTGAATTCATATTAAAGATAAATCAATTTTAGTCAAACTGATTTTAAGGCAGCCTCTATGTCGCCCATATTATCTCTCTCTCTCTCTCTCTTTCTCTCACCCAGTGGTGGATCCAGGGGGGGGGGGCGGCCCCCTCCCCTGGCGCTCAAGGGGGCGGTGGATGTTGAGAAGAAAAAAATCACTGTCCCCTTCCCCGTTGAGCAAAAAAAAAAAATGAGTGCTCACTATCTCTCCCCCCCCCCCTCCGAGAGATGGCGTTATTCCATATTGTATTCATCATGTTCATTATTTACATCTCGTCTGTTTGGAATCAGAAGGGCGTTAACTCTAAAGTTAATATGAATTAACGCTCTTCTGTCTCCAACCTGGGCCGGAACGACTATATTATTACATGTAGCCTACGACCACCAGGTTCCCCCAAATCGTTATATAAGATAGTAAGAGTTTTGTTCTTCTTATTGTCACACAAATCATTCTTAAATAGCCTAAGACATCATTCTTATTTCCTTTTATATAGATTTTGCATCTCGTGAACTTGAACGTAAAATTGTCAGGAGGGGGCGGATCGTTTTTGTTTCTTCCCATTCCTGGTATTTCCAAGATTCCGTTTGGTAAAATGAAGCTCATGACAAACACAATTCGGAGCTTGAACGCCTTCATCCAGTCTCAGATTGAGTCTCATGAAAAGAATTGGGATCCAGAAAATCAGAAGGATTTCATCGACCAGTACCTCAATAAGTTGGATGAAACCAAGGTAAATAAAAGCAACTTAGATAGATGCTTTTACATTCTACAATTCTTTGTTCCAGTGGTCAGACGATTTATGGTTCCTATACGTTCTATTTGTTCTGCTTTTCGTTGGTCCATTCCTAATACTAAACATAACCTTATAATTCACCTTCACCCTAAAAATTACTCCCGCCCTCAACTTTCTAATGGGACGCAGGACAAACAGGTTTTAAAGAAGTATGTATAAATCATGGGACAACCAGAGCTTGTTCACGAAGTCCATATTATTAAATTGTTTCTGCATTCAACATGTAATATGTATGTCAATATTCACAGTGAAAACTTGCACAAAATCAGAAGAATTAAATTAAAAGTATGACAAATGTGAGCCACAGTGTGTTCATATCGGCAACGCTCTGAGGCGCTACAAAAGTCACCTGTTAGTATTCTTCTTGTCACACGTATTACAATTTAAAAAAATATTTAAAAAATACCAGAACGTTGTATGCACTCTTAAGACGGCCCTATTACCAAAACGTTATTAAAGGCAATTCTTTCTGCTTTCGGCTGCTTTCAGGACACAGTTTCTTCATTCACCAAACTCAATTTAACCGGTTGTATCGCCGATCTCTTTCTCGCTGGGTCTGACACGACGGCTACTACCCTCAAGTGGTGCATCCTCTTTATGATGGCCTACCCACAGGTTCAGTCACGTGTTCAAGATGAACTTGATCACGTGGTTGGCAGAGAACGAATCCCAAGGCTGGATGATATCAAAGATCTTCCCTACACCAATGCCGTTATCTTAGAGGTAGATCTTCAGTTATTCTGTTTCAAATTAGAGGGATAAAAGAAGGGGAGGGGATCCCCACCCACTGGACAAAACCGGATCCCCCTCTTCCTGGAAGAATGCGGCTGCCTTTAAAACTATTCCTTGATATTTACTACAATAACCCCCCCCCCCCCCAAAAAAAAAAATAAATAAATAAATAAATAAATAAACAACATGTTATCAACTTAAAGAGAACGTGATATCTAAGATGTTCATATGATGTGAACATAGGGAGGAGAGACACGGGAGGCGTATGGGGGCATAGCGACAGGTATTTCCACCGCGGTGGATTTAATTTGTCTAAGAGACACAATTGGCACATGTCTCCTCCTTTAAAACAATCTTGAATTCCTTAAAGTAAACAAAAATGAATTTATTGTTTTGTTTATCGGAGTTTTATTTATGTTTTTTAAATCCGGAATCGTACTTTCCAAGGTCCAACGGAAGGGTGTGGTTGTCCCACTAGGTGTGCCCCACGTGGCTGCTGCGGATACCACCATACGAGGCTACACCATACCGAAGGGCGCCGTCATTGTGTCCAACATTTCCGAGGTGCTGAACAGCGAGGAGCTTTGGAAAGACTCTGGGGCCTTCAAACCTGAGAGGTTTCTGACCGCAGATGGAGAGCTTATCAAGAGAGATGAACTCATCTTTTTCAGCAGTGGTAAGACAAGTTTATTGGCAGTTATTCGCCTTGTGATGAATATTAAGAAACACATCATTTATCCTTTCGAACAAAAGACCAATATAACCTGCTTTCTCAAACTTTTGATAATGTAAAATTGAGCCCAGTGATCAACTGGAATGTTCCATTTTGACATCAAAATGAGAAAATTACGAACATAATGGCTGAAACTTCTAAATGCAAGAAATGGAGAGAGTTTTTTTGAGTAGTGAAGAAGCAAGAAGGGATGTATATTGTATATTGGAGATAATGAGAGGGTTGGAGCCAAAGGGAAAAGGGGAAAATCTTCCTCAAAATCAAGCGTCAAATCTCATGAAGTGGACGAGACACCGATACTCGAAGACCCCGATAGTCCGGCAGCTGATCAGATTGACCAGTCCACTGAATTCTTAACTGGTCATCGAAGCGAGTCACTTGCAGAGAACAATGAGATAATAGACATGGTCAAAGTTGAGATAACAAAGGCCCTCTCGTCCGATAAATTGATATCGACAATAGTAAACAAGATCTACGATAAATTTAAAGAGAAGATGACGCAAGAAGTGTACAGTGCGGTGAAACTTGATCTCGAGGGTCAAGAAAAGGAGATACAATCACTGGAAAAGAAAATCAACCACCTAAACAGTATGGTCAGAAAACTTGAAATGGTGAATGAGGAAGCGGAACAATACAGCCGTCGCAACTGTTTACGGATATATGGAATACCCGAAAGTGCAAACGAGAACACCGACAACATCGTCATGGATGTCATCAACAACAAGCTGAAACTCGGTATGCCTCCACACATCATCGACAGAAGTCATAGGATTCAGCCCAGGCCTCTAGTTGATAGTTCTTCAGACTCGCAGAGATCAACCCCTAAGCCAATCATTGTCAAGTTTGTGAGATATAACGATCGCCAACAAGTATACAATGCCCGGAAAGACTTGATGAAAACTGCTAAGAAGATCTTCATACGAGAGAGCTTGACATCGAAGAGGCAGCAACTTGTCAATGAACTGGTAAGACATGACTCAGTAAAGAGAGTCTGGACTCAGGATGGAAAAATCCGTGTGTTGACTGTGGACAATGCAAAACGCACTGTGAGGAGCATCCAAGATCTTGAAAGTGCAAGGTCATAGTTTTCGTTTCTGTTACGTAGGTTTTTTTTTTTTTTTTTTTTTAATCATTGACTATCTTACTTAAATGTCTGCCGGAAATTCAGTATACTTATCACCTTTACGTGCAGCCACCCATAATCTGAAATATCCATGTTTGTCTTGTTCTAAAGAAGTTAAAACCAATCAAAATGCTATATTATGCGTATCTTGCAAACGATGGGCCCACTTGGTATGTTCAAGGGCGACTCGTGAAACTTTTATCTCTGATACAAACTGGACATGTGTCCCTTGTCAATTCGATGAACTGCCAACAAATGCATGTATAGATATTGGTATTGATGTCGAGTGTGGTTTACCACATCAAAGTGAACCTGCTATGTATAATTATAACAGTATCGACGATATTTTCACGAAAGTTAATTCGATTTCTGGCATCATTATTGCCCATCTTAACATATGTTCATTATTGAAAAATATTGACGAAGTACGCAATATATTGTGCAAGCAAAACATCCAAATCCTGTGTTTATGTGAAACTAGGTTAGACTCTTCTGTGTATGATAGTGAGATTAATGTTGAAGGATTTAGAGCTATTAGAACAGATAGAAACCGAAACGGAGGTGGAATTTTGATATACATTAAAGAAAATATTTTGTTTAACATAAAACATGATTTGACTCTTGACGGTTTGGAATTAATGTGTGTTGAGATATGTATCCATAAACAGAAACCCTTTCTTATTGTGTATTGGTACAGACCACCAAACTCACAGAGTGTAGTGTTTGACTTGCTTGATAGCGTACTTCAGCCTTTAGAATCATTGTCTAAAGATTTCATTCTCTTGGGAGATCTAAATTGTGATATTGTTAAACAGCCTCCCTCTTACCAAACAAAGCGATTGTTGAGCTTGGTAGAAGAATACGATTTAAAACAACTGGTTGAAAAACCGACGAGAGTAACACAAACGTCTGCCACCCTGATTGATGTCTTATACTCCTCAAATCATAAGAAGATCACTTTTTGTGATGTCGTTCCATTAGGCATGAGTGATCACTACATGATAATCTGCTCCTTGGGAAAGCAAAAATCTCCCACTGTTTGTCATAAGTTTGTTTATTCAAGAAATCTGAAGAAAATGAATTTAAGTGATTTTTCGAATGATTTGAGCAGTGAATGTTGGCAAAACGTCCTTTTAGAAACTGATGCAAATAGTGCCTATGAAATATGGTGTAGACAATTTTGTTCCGTACTGGATAAACATGCCCCTCTTAGGAAAAAAAGAGTGCGACAAAAAGAAACGCCATGGATAAATAACGACATATTAAATAAAATAGGGGAAAGAAATAAAACGAAAACCCGTGCTAAATTTTCAAAATCAGACGAAGACTGGAAATCGTATCGAAAACTGAGAAATAGTGTAACCGATATGATAAGAAAGGCAAAAAGGTCATATATCTCTGAAAGTATTTTAAATAACAAGGGAAATTGTGCTGCAATGTGGAAATCTTTAAGATGTATGCTGCCAAATAAAAAGAATATGAAAGTAATTCAAAAGTTGTCCATAAATGGTGAAGAAATTTTAGGATTTAAGGAAATTGCTACACGCTTAAATAATAACTTTGTTGACATGGCAACAAATCGTAAACAAAAGTTTACCTTTGGTGATGATTTAGAACAATATCTGACCAAAGTACCAACCACTTTCAGTTTTAAACCGATTTCCTGTCAAGATGTTAAGAAACATATAAATAAAATTGCAAGAAATAAGGCCACTGGCCTGGATCAAATTCCAGCCGGTGTAATTAAAGATGCTATAGACTACATTATTGTGCCATTGACGCATATTGTCAACATTTCTCTGTGTACTGGTAAAATCCCTGATGCGTGGAAAAAGGCCCGTGTAACGCCGATTTTCAAGAGTGGTGACGTAACAAATCCGTCGAACTACAGACCGATTTCGGTCCTCCCAGTATTGTCTAAAGTATTAGAAAAGATTGTGTTCGATCAAGTGTATAACTACCTGTCTAGTAATAGCTTACTAAATCCATGTCAACACGGATTCCGCCCAGGTCATTCAACCACTACTGCCTTGTTAAATATCACCGACGATTTTGCAAACAAAATTGATCAAGGATATGTCATTGGTATGGTTACGATAGACCTGGAGAAAGCATTTGATTTGATTTCGTTTAACATATTATTGAAGAAATTATCCTACTTTGGGTTTGACGTAGGTGCAATAGATTGGTTCCGTGACTATTTCTGTGGTAGGGAGCAATCAACGGTTGTCAATGGTAACATGTCAAGTTTTCGAACGGTGGAAAGCGGGGTGCCCCAGGGGAGTATTTTGGGGCCCCTTCTTTTTATCCTTACACTGAATGATTTGGTAAAATCCGTCGAAAAATGTTCTGTTTCCTTATACGCAGATGATACGTGTATTTATTTTGCATCAAAAGAGTCAGCAGAGTTAGAAACAACTATAAACAGAGATTTAAAGTTGATTTCTACATGGTTTTCAAACAATGAATTGCTGATAAATCTCGATAAATGTCAATTCATGCTACTAGGCTCTAAAGCAAAACTCCGGTTATTTGAAAATGTAAAAATCAAAATTCAAAATTCTCAATTACAGAGAGTAACATATTGTAAATATCTTGGCGTGATAATTGATAGTTGTCTAACATGGACTCCCCAAATTGATAATGTTAGGAAAAAGGTTTTAAAAACATTCTACTCTTTAAAGCGCATCAGATTTTATGTACCGAGAAGTACTGCTCTCCTTTTGTATAAATCGTTAATCCAACCAATCTTTGACTATTGTTGTACAGTCTGGAGAAATGGCAATGAAAACCAGCTAAATCGTCTCCAAGTTTTACAGAATAGAGCGTTAATGTCCGTTTTAGAGGTAAATAATCGTTTCAATAGAGCCACTTTGTATAACACGCTAAATGTAGATCAACTCGACGAAAGATGGAATAAGCAGTCAATTTTACTTATATTCAAATTAGTTAATAACATAGCCCCACCCTCACTATGCTCACGGATCCATCTTAAATCATACAACTACCTGTTACGTAATATCGATTGCCAAATTCAACTGCCACGACCACATACAAATTACCTCAAAAAGAGCCCTCTCTATTCAGCCTCTAATCTTTTCAATAACCTACCGACAAACATCCGATTAGAAAAAAGCCTGGGAGCATTCGCACGTCTTATATCCCTCTCTTAAATAATACACCCCTTCCATCGTTTCTGTTATCCAAGTAATTTTTAATTCATTTTGTTTGTTTTCATCTTATTATGTTTTTATGATAATTTGTATGATTTATTTTGTATATAATTTTGTATTCGTTTACTTGTTGTGTTCAATTGTTGTTCACGGCCTTGCTGAAAAGCAGCTTCTAGCTGATAGCAGGCTTTTTAACCGTGATTAAATAAATAAAATACCAAAAAATACAAATACAAATTATAAATCTATTTCTTTCTCCTTCTCCGTCGATCATCCCCACGCCGCCCACCCCCTCCCTCTCTCTCGCTCTCTCTTTCTCTCTCTCTCTCTCTCCCTCCTACTCCCTTCTCTCTCTCCCCCTCTCTCTCCCTCCATCCTGCTCTCTCTCTCTCTTTCTCTTTCTCTCTCTGTCTGTCTCTTTCCCTTCATCTCTCTCTTTCCCTTCCTATCCCTCTCTGTCATTGTTCATTCATACAATTCCCAGGTCGTCGTGCCTGTCCGGGAGAGCAGCTAGCCCGGATGGAGACATTCTTGGGTTTTACAAGCCTCCTTCAACGATTCGCCTTTAAGAAACCTGAAAACTCACTACCTCTTTCTTTCGAAGGAGTATTGGGTGTATCAAGGAACCCTGTTCCCTACATGACATGTACCGTAGTAAGAGAATGAAAATTAAAGAAAATCCATCAAAGTTCCAGTCATGAGGTACGGTAATAAGGAAACATGGATTCTCAGAGAATCAAAAAGAATCTACACTCAAAATCCAAGGTGATAAATGATATCTGCCAAATGGTTAAGGTACAAAATTATTTAAAGCTAAATAGTGAAACGAAAACAGATGTTAAAATCGAGCTGGTCAACCATAG